CATTTCGAAAGAAGTTTCCTATCTTACTGAAGAAACCCATTTTACTATATGTAAAAATCTAATGTCCGCCTAGTCTCTTACGTTTCCTGTTGAGTTCCATAGCATTCTTTAACTGGAGCTCATACATTCTGTTTCTCCTCTGGTAGAAAACATATTCTGGGTCAACTCCTGTGTTCGCGTCATCTGCATAAAGTTGTTTATATCCCACTTCAGGGTTTGTATAAAACTCTTTCCATCTCATATTTGCATACATGGTGGCAAACCTAACGCAGCGTCATTTGACATGGCTTGCATTTGTACATCTGTTGGCACTTGACCATAGTTTGCCATTGCAGTTTGTATTCTAACTTCATTTGGAATATTCTCTGGGTTTGGTTGTCCAGGTTGCTGTGCATTCGCTAAGTTCTGTGCGTCCATTTAATATTAGATAAAAATATCTCTTACGAGTACATATACTGAACATTTGCAGGCATTGGTTCATCTTCATATTCTCTGTACTTTTCTGCCACGTCAAATAAATAAATGACACAATGGAAAAAACCTAAAACAAGTAGTCCTATTTCAAACCACATTTACTTACTAATAAAATTTCTTTGTTATGAACTTTCTCCGGTTTATAGGACCTCTCTCATATTCTAGCTTGTCATATCTAAACTCATAGTCATGTATGTCCTCTAACCATCTCATAACGGTTTCCAAACCACTTTTATCGGATGTAAAGTAAAAGCATGGATGGTTATGTAAAACGTCTAAAGTTTCTAAAGAGTCTCTCAAAGTCCAGTCTACTTGGTATTGAAAATTCCCATGTGTTATAGAACGGCGGTCCACTATAAAGAAAACATTTTCCTTGTCTTTATATTTTTCATACAACTCTGTCCAATGACATCTCACAAACTCTATACCCTCAATATATTTTTCTATGTCCTCTTTGAAAACATTTGTATAGTTAAGATATAAAACTTTTGACATAAGTGTTTCAATGTCATGAACTCTTATAGCACCACTATATAATAGTCTAGCAGATATACTATCCCAGTCTATATATTCTGCTTTTTTCAAAACCTCTCTCACAATATTTTTCTTATCTAATGGTATACGTTCCATCTTACCTATAGGTATCTTTTTCTTTTAACTCTTTCAATATATTGTTTGTGTCTGGTATATGTTTGAGACGGTCCATATAGTTGTCGAAGTCATTGCATATAATTCTTTGAGTCTGGGAATATTGTATGGCACAAATGGGATATATAGAAACTTCCACGAACAAATCTACAAATGTTAGACCATTCGTAGTTTCTTAAGTTCTCTCAATATAATATCTTTACATTTACTCTTATTTCCAAAGAACGGTAACGGAGGTTTTGTAAAATTCATTTATATATAATAATAAAAATGTTTTTTTCCTGAAAAGTGACAGAAAAGTGACAAACATGAAAACATATATAATTTGTGAAAAGCGACACATTATATAATGTTTTCGACCCAGAAGAAGGCTTCTTCCCAGAAGCAATGGAGGAAGAAGAAGAGTCCTCCGAATTCACACCAGAAGACTAACAATTTTCCGAATAAAAACTTCATTTATACTAAACATCTTCGGGGCTAGAGGGCACGAAGTGCCTGGAAGCCCACTACCTTTTTTTTTTTTAAAAATGCAGTTATGCTTTTGATTCATCAAAATGAAGAACATTTTACTAAAAACATGCTAGTGTGTCAAATCATTATTAAGTTACATGTTTATAATACATTCATGATTATCATTTGTCGTAATTCATAGATTAGATATCTTTGATTTTATTTTTCTTCCAACTATCCAAACTCATCTAATTGCATTTAAAAAACATGCTTGGTATCGTTTAAAAGTGTTATTTTTTCTGATTATGATTCAGATATAGTTGTTGCCGAGATAAGAAGTCAGAGGTGAATCTCGAATGATGGTAGTAGGTATGTTAAGAACTTCTTTAGATGATCAGATATTCATTATATGAGCCAGATAAGGCTGGTATCAAAATCAAATCACAGCTTCCTGTTTCTGTTGAAGACAATAAATACGTTTTCGATTATCCTTGCGAAGACCCTTCCTCATGTACTGATTACTCCATTGCGCTCCATCCAGGTTTATATAAATTCGAATTGTATGGTGCTTCCGGTGGTAGTTCCACAGGCAAAGTGTCCACCTATCATTATGACTCGGGTGAATGCATGCAGGATAGTTTAGTCAGACTCTTCCACGGCAATACAACATGCCTCTCATCATTTGGTTACAGTGGTGCCGGAGGCTATGTTCGTGGATTGATTCATATTAAGCGATTAACACAAATATATGCCACAATTGGTGGTATGGGACAATATCTGAAAAATTCGATTTGCTCACCCACCCAAAACTGTTTTCACAAGGAGCATATGGTTCCTGGTGGATATGGTGGTGGTGGTAGTTCTGCAGGATATGAATTATGTACGGCGAGTGGCGGTGGGCAAACTTCTGTCCAATTTTTAGAAAATTCCCTCTATCATCGAGTGATAGTTAGCGGTGCTGGCGGTGGGTCTGATGACTCTGCTGGTGATGATTCTAGAGGTGGCTCCGGCGGCAGCCTTGTTGCTCAAGGTTGGTGGGCTGACCGAGTCTACAACGGCAAATATTTAGCAAATTCCTCATCGGGATTTACCTTTGGTACTGGAGAAGCCGCTCAGTTATATGGATCTAAGAATTCTAAAGGAGTACAAATACCGTATAAGCAGACTGATAGATGCGGTGCTGGAGGCGGCTGGTTCGGTGGCTTTGCTAGTCATCATTGCAATGGAGGGTGTGGCGGTGGGAGCTCATGGGCTTTGACAAAGGATGCATATATACCACCTGGCCTGATCGAATCGCGTGATGAGTTTTATGAGAATAATGAATTGAGGAAATATAATTTTGATCTGAATTCTGAATATTTATTTTCAGAAGTTGAACACATCCCGGGCATCTGGCAAGGCAACGGTCGTCTCATAATAACAGTACTCAAATCCCTCTTTATTAACAGTGTGTTAGGATGCCATTTATCGAATTATTTCTTAGGATTTATTATATTTATACGCTAAATTTGGCATTATATAATATGTTATAAAATTGAAGTCAATTACTGAAGTATATTTTTCCATCATATGCGTAAAATTCACAAAATAGAAAGATGACGATGATGAGAATAAATTCTGCTTTGGTCTAGTAGAAAGGGGCTTGAATTTAGAGATTAAACCTCAAGCATTTCATCAAACTTCTGTTTCGTTTACTATGTAGCAGATCTTTAGTCCTATTTACAAATTTTTTGTCTGCATTATTTAATCAAGATTAAAAAGTCAAAAATAAACATTGACTCATGGTCAGAATATAGGGTGTCCAAAGGTGTGTTTAGCACAAACCTGAATACTGCGAATAGAAATAAACAAGTTACATATATATAAAGTTTATTTAAATATAATCACCATTGGATTCAATCACGCGTTCGCAGCGATCGATCCAGGCTTGAAAGACACGCTTTAAATCATCATGAGAAAATTGCTCAAATTGCTCTCTTACAAAATTTTCAAGATCATCTGGACTCGCGAATTCGCGTCCTTCAGCTCTCTTTTTTAGCGTGCCGAATAAATAAAAGTCAGAGGGTGCAATATCAGGTGAATAAATTGGGTTTGGAACAACTTTGACATTGTTTTCCAACAAGTAATTCATTACTTTATGACTTTTGTGAACTCTTGAATTATCAAAATGAATTGCAAACTTTTGTTTTTGTTGTTTGGATTTCTCAAACTCATCAGAATTGATAATTTGAGTAAGAACATTGTCAATTAGATACTGAGCATTCATCGTATTAGGTTTTTGAAGAATATCAATTGCGATGATGCCATTCACGCCCCAAAAAACCGACAACATCATCATTGGTGTGTCAATTTTTTTCTTCGGGAATGTTTGCGGATTTTCATCCTTCGGGATCCACATGATTTTGGCTTATGTTGCATATTGAAACCAAGACTCGTCCCCTGTTACTAAAAAGCGAAACTTCTTGGATTGATACGCACCCAATATAGAGAGGAGCTCTTTCGAAGATTGGACTCTAGATTTTTTTGAACTGAATTAAGGTTGTGCGGAACCCAACGTGTATACGCTAGTTTGTAGTTCAAATAATTGTGCAGATAATAACTGACTGTTGTACTTGGTATCTTTGTCATCTCCTCTATCCTTCTGAGTGATGCTCTTGGGTCTTCATCTAGCGCTTGAAGAATTGCTTTGATTTTTCTTTGATCCGGCGATTTTTTGTCAATTTTTATGATGGGCGCCTTTTTGTTCATGAAGTGATACATCCTAACATGATACGTTACAGTGGAATAGCTAGGAGCATCCATACCGAAGCATTTTACCAATGTCTCGTAGATTTTTTTACAGTCTTTGCATTTTTTTGCAAGAGCGAGGATGTTTTCTTTATGATTCATTAAAAAAATGAAAAAAATCCCGCCAAAATTTCCCGCGAAACCGCCTCTTGTCTCAAAATTCATTTTATATCCCGGCATGGCGCCAAAATACAACATACTCATCATATACATATATCTTATTTTTTTATTATATATTTATAATCAGCATATATCTCCTTTAATAGTCTCATATAGAGCGCTGTGCTAAATGCACCTTTGGACACCCTATAGTATCAATTTTAACAATGTTCATTTAACGGTAGAGTATTTTTCTTCTAGCCATAATTTTGAAGAAAATGCATGTATAAAAACCGTTTTATATCAATTTTTGAATCTTTTTTAATCATTAATCATTGAATTTTGCGTATATTATTTTTCATTGCGCACACAAATTCAATATGCAAGAATTATTGAATATGTTTAAATTTCAAGGTTAAATTAAAAAAGAGAAACTTTATTTAAATAATTGTGCCTTATATACAAAGAATATGTATATACCTTATAACAAGCGTTATTTTTAGATTTGATGGTAAATTATTATAAAAAGTGACAAAAAACTGATGAGTGATATTAAATTCGTTGTTAATTCTCAGTATTGCAGAAATTCGTCTTTAGTTAAATATGGAAGTGATTTTTGTTTCGTTATCAATGGTCATCGATTTTATACAACACAATCACACGCAGTTGTTCTAAGTGAAACAGTTCGAAACATGTTGATTACAGATAATAGTGCACAAGAGATTAATATTGATATTAATATTAATACTGATATTAACAATAAAGAAACATTTAATAAAGCATTAAACATTTTTTGTAAGTTTGTTCAAGAAGGATATGTTTCAGAAAACATCGACATCGAAACAAGCGAAATTATTTATGATCTTGGTGTTCTTCTCAAGAACGAAGATTTTATTTCACAATACAAATTCATTATTTCATCAACAATTATCAGTGAATCAAACATCGAATCATTCATCCGATACAGTCTTAAAACATGTGATTTCGATAAAACATGTTCATTCATCGCATCTCATATCTCTTTTCTTGGACCTTCCAAACTTTGTCTTCTTTTTGAATCTGTTTATCATTCTATTGCATCATCGTATTTTAACGAAAACATCGATGATTTTTGTTGATTTTATTTCAAGTATTTTGAGTAATAGATATGTTTTTGTCTACAACGAAGATGATATCTGTGATTTTGTTATTTCATTCATCAAAACATTTTCATCTTTTTTATCATTTTCATCATCATCAAAATTCGACAAACTGATTGAATTCATCAGATTCGAATTCTGCACAAACGAAACAATTTATCGTTTTATCAAATTTTATTCTTCATTCATCAACTCTTTTGATCAAGAAATCAAAACAAGAAATAAAGCAAATGACAATATTCAAAACGAAAATGAAATCTTCATTCATTTATTTGAAACATTAATGTTATCACCAAATAATAATAATCATAAAGAAAACAAACAATATGATAAAATTTCAACAACTGATGAAAACATTAAATTTTTTGAAAGAAATTGGATTTCAAAAATTTTATTTTGTCTTTATGATACATTTGTAAAATGTAGTCAAGAACGAGATCTTTATTCAATCAAATTTGCTGTTGATAATGGATATCATAAAGTATCCCATTTTAATATGACAGTAATTGATTATGCAGTAAGATTAAATAATTTATCTCTTGTTCAAGATCTTATTTCATGTGGTGTTGACCCTAATATGAGAAATGATGATCTAGACACACCACTCCATTATGCTTGTTTTTATAATTCATTCGAAGTTGTCAAATTCCTTCTTACGTTATATGAAATTGATATTAATGCACAAAATAAGTATGGAAATACACCCCTTCATGATGCATGCAGGTCAAATGATACAGAAACTGTAAAACTTCTCTTAGAATGTAGAGGAATAAATATTTCAATAAAGAATTACAAAGGTGTAACTGCAATTGATATGACTAACGATGTAAATATTCGAAATCTTTTTAATCAAAAATAAGTAATAATTATATTTAAAATCTAATATGAACAAATTCAAATTTAAATAATCATGTTGTGCATTAATCATTTTTGGCCTTTTTTTACACCTCATATAAAGAAATAATATGATTATAATGACATCTTCGTTTTTCGCTCAGTAATTCGTTTATTCACTCACTGAATGCCACTTAATTTTTTAGAATTTCGATTAATTTAGAAAAAAATTTGCGCCGGAAAGGGGTGATCGCACTCTTTAAGTAGAATAGCTGAGCTACTAAGTAGAGCATAAGAATAAAAGATATAATATCAAGAACCAACATTCCAAGATCAAATGAATTTTCCTTGTAAGGTAGCAATTTTTTTTATTGATCCACGAATATTTTTATTATATCTATATTGAAACTCATCTAAATCTAATGAGATCATTTTTTCAACAGTAATTTGGATTTTTCTATCAATTTCTTTATAGAACATATTTTCTAATATTAGATGTAATCTGAGTAGTCTTAAGAATATATATAAAAATTGACCAATTTTGCTTCCTAATAATTTCACAATTTTTGAATTTTTGTTGCTTAAGCAAATCAAGCATGTATTAGGTTTACCTTTAACAATCTCAACAAAACCACGGTTTCTACTTTCTTTATTATGTATTTCTTCATAAAATTCATCCAAATATTCTTTTGTTTTATCATTTAATATATATTTTTCCTTCAATAGACAAATAACTGTTTCATTTTCTTGATATGAAATATGAAAAGGACGGGGTTGGTATGAACCATAGTTAAAATTGTACCTATTGCTGCATATTTTATAACTGCCTCCATTTTCGTTATAACGTCTCGAAATTACACAATAAGATATCATTGGTTGCTGAGAAAGGAATGAATAAACGTATTTTTCATTATTAATACTGCGTATCATCCTGAAGAAAGAACTTTTTGCATTTTGAATGGTGTAATAAAATATCATCAAAGCAATAATAACTATCACGAAGTTGGTGTCCATTATATTCGATCATTTAATTTAGGGGGTTTGTTTCAAATTATTAATTTTCCATGCATTCAAAAAATTGAGAAGAATATTATAATTGATCTATTTCAATTTTTTATATATTCCCTTAGTATATATTGTATATATTATGCTTTTAATATTCCAAAACTCAAAATCACTTATTTTTTCAGGGAGTCATCTCATTATTGATAATGTATTTCAATTGAAACTTGAAGCGAGCATGCTGGTCCAAGTGAAAATAGATAAGATATTTCAGTAGTCATAGTGTTGTGTCTAGCACAGCATTTCGCGATTTTTCTCAAATATCAGGGTTTTGATGATATTAGAATTTTTTTTAAAAAAAAGTGACTATTGTTATAACAAGAAAAAGGTTTCATTGAAACAATGAATTCACTATACAGAATACTGTCATTCAATGAAGAAGAACTGAACGATGTTTATCATGATATAAAATTTAAATTAATTGAAACGCAAAAATGTTCTCCATTGTATATTATTAATGCAATAGATAATGTATTGTTGTATAGAAATCGATATTTTACATCATATATGCTTATTTTAAAAAAGATAATGGAAGATTATCACAAACAATTAGATGAAAATTCACCTTTTTTCAAAATATTCTTAGGTAGTATAAATGATGAACATAAACTAGCAGAAAATAATGATTCAGAAAATAATTCATCTGAAATTCATGAAAAAAATACAATTTTCAGGGCTATTATGGAGAATGATAAAAATTTATTTATATACCTCATAAGAGAAGATGATTTCGACGAATCTCAAATGTTAAAAATAATGATGGATACTTTCCTCTTTACTATGGAATAAAGTATAGAACTAATGAAATATTAAAAATTTTGATAGAAAGTGGTTCTAATATCAATGATAGAGATAAATATGGAAGAAAACCTCTCGATTTTGCAGTCATTTTTAATACTATAGAAATAGTCAATATTCTTATTGAATTAGGGGCAAATATTAATGAAAAAGATCAAGAATGGTTTACGCCTCTCCATTTTGCAGCCAATTTTAATCGTGTTGAAATAGCCAAAGTTCTTATTTCACATGGTGCCAATATAAATGAAAAAGATATAAATGGGAGAACTCCTCTTAATATTGCTCAATTAAAAAATAATAAAGAAATAGTGGAAGTTCTTATTTTATTTGGGGCAATTAATAATGAAGTAGATGTTTTGAGTGAAACACCATTAAAAGATGTCCATAAATTGTCACATGTTTGCATTTTAATTTAAAAAGGTATATCTCGACAAATCTCATATCTTTAAGAGTTTTATCATGTCCCAATTTCATTTTGTTGAAGTTTTGTTGGCCAATCTTCCTCTATCGGAATAATTTATGACTTTTATAAATTAATAGTGTTCATAAACAAATTGTGTAAGCCCAAATTATTGTGTTATTGAATTAAGGATCCCGTTTGGAGAAATAACGGTTGAGATCTCCAAATTCCAAAATATAAGCTTTTCCAATTTTGTAAATTATTAATGTAAAACCATACGCTATTTTATATAAATATTACCCCCATATGCACAAATTGAATTTACATATAGCTGAATGACTCAACTTTAAACTATGATGTTTAACATAATTTTTCAATGTTAATGGTTCACATGCATTATGTTCACATATTTTGAATTAAAATCAGATACATATATGCAATAATAATGATTTTTATAGCATAATTTTGAGCTCCAGATTTCGACAAAGTTAAAAAGGTTTTAGATATAGTTTGCTGAGGGAAAAAAATTATCCATGTCCAAAATCCACAGAAATTTATGGCGGTTCACAATAATGACAGCTACATATTCATGTCACTTTAAGGCTGCACTTACACCCATCTGATATTAATTCAAATTTCTGACAAATGGAGTCATTGAAAATTAACCATGCCATAGGGGCGTAAATTCACCCTTTTTTTAAAAAAAAAACTTTATTTTACAAATAACAAACTGAATATTTTACATATACATACAAACAAAAATAAATCTATATAAAAATTCAATCAGAACTATCGGCTTTCTGATCGACATCGAAATCCAAGCCATTTATCTCCAAAACTAAGTCTTCAAACGGCCATCTAATAAAAGACAAGAAAGCAACAGAAGTTGTAATGAAAATTCTGCACAAAACTTCTAATCTGTTGAATCTTTCAACATTTAAGAGAAGACAAGCAATAAGAAGGCCATAATTAGGTAATATAATGAATATATGAGTAATTAATCCAAGAAATTCCTCTTTGTTGTCTTTCTGGATAAAAATAACAGAAAAAATTAAAAAACAAAGAATTAAAAATACAAAACCAGCAAGACCAATAGAAACTAGTCGATCGCTGGATGCAAAATAGAACGCAGCAAGTAAAAATGGCATGATTATGTAAGTAATTTCGTATAATAGGTTTTCTGCTTTTTCTTCCCTAAAAGAAAGATTGATTGTAAGTGCAGCTGACGTGATGACGAATAATGATCGGTAAAACAAAACGAAAAATGAAGATTTGTCGTGGAAGAAATTTAATATGTTGAAAAATGAGAGTTCTGGAAGAGGAATCATCGAAATTGAGATGAGTACAAGCGATATAAGTATGAATCTTTGCGCATTTGTGGCTGTACGCGATTTTAACTTGTTAATCGATCTCAAAACTAATAAACAGCATGTAATCAAGAGAAAACAGCACACACTGAATATAAAAAATATAGATAGACCGTAAACAGGATTGAAATCCTGCCAAATCCATGAAAGATTTGCTAAATTTCCTTTTTTAACTTTAACATGACCATGAAATTCAACTCTGGATACGCGGGAATCTTTGCAACCAAGTAATTTGACCCTATCTCCATTTGATATGTTAAAATTATTCTGATATTTTGGTGTTGCTGTATATAAAGTAACTCCGCGATATAAATCTAATCGATAGTCGGCGCTGATTGCAACTTCTGACTTATTTGTGGCAGTATTGGCCAGAAAAACGTTAATAAAAGGTTGATATGACTGTTTTTGGATATATATCAAAGAAACTGTTGATCTAGAGTCTGTGGCATCGTATTTTTTAATATTCTCCCTATGAATTGAAGGTAGTATAAAAACAAGGACAATTAATAAAAAGAAAATCAAATAATTTGTCAATATAAAGCGAAAATGTTTGTCAAATGACATTCCTTCGTATGCTTCATTTGCAAATATATCTGCATCAAACCCAATATCTTTAAGATTTTTATCATTTCCCAATTTCATTTTTGTAGAAATTTTGTTGGCCAAACTTCCTCTATCGGAATTTACATATATTTTAAAAAATTGTGCATGTCCAAATTATTATGTTATCAGTAGATACAGTAGATTGGCAAAATTTAAAATATACTGAATATAATAATTTTTGATCCAAACGCTCATCTCATAACTTTTCTCAGATCTCATAGGAAAAAATCTCAAATTAAACATCTGGAACTTTGGTCTTCCAATCAAAATTAGAGTGGTAGGGGTTACAAATCACAATTCAGTACACACACACACATATTTGGAATCTATAATTCGAATACATTTTAATTATTTTGTCGGAATGCGGACCCTTAAATTATTAATAAAAAAATATTTCAAATTAATTAAATTTTTTATTTTGCGGTCATAAAATATACAGATGAATCGGCGCTTGTAATAAGTGGTGCACTTGATAGTAATTTAATTCTGTTTCTTCTGCAGAATGCGAAGAAAACAACTAAAACAACGACCGCAATCACAACAATAACTGATATTGATACAATTATCGTAATTTTAACAGTCTTTGAGTGAGAATCATCACCACCACTTCCACAGACATCACTTGTTGTTACATTCTTTCCAGCGAAATTTTCATATCCGAATGATGAAGAAATGAATACGTTCTTGACGTTATCGGATCCTTCTAAAACAGAGTTATCTACTGATGTATTATCACCGCAGTAGTAGAACTCTTTCAAGTTTTTATTGAAGCTGAATGATGATTTGCCGAAATCAGAATGATTTGAAGAGATCAAAACTTTTTTGAGGTTAGTCTTAGAGAAAGAAAATTCTCCAAATATTGATTTGCTTTGTATTACATCAAGTTCTACAATTCCAGAATTATAAAATGAATAATCGCCAAATTTGGTGACTTGTGATATGAAATCGAAATTATTCAAATTCTGGCAACCTTCGAAAGCTCTTTCAGGAATTTCAGTGTATTTCAACAAATCTATTTTATTAAGTTTCGAACAATTAGCGAAACATGCTTTACTAATTGCGACAATTCCTTGAGAATCAATTTCTTCCAAGTTGATGTTTTCATGGAAAGCGAATTGTCCAACATTTAATTTGCCTTTAGTTGTGAATTTCTTCAAATTCGAACAAGAACAAAATGCATGATTATCTACAAGAATTTCACTTTGTGAATCAATATCAAATGATTCCAAATTTGTCAATCCTTTGAATGAAGAATCTCCCAATGTTTTAATAGTTCCTTTAATGTTTATCTTTGTTATTGATTTGGAATTGATGAAAGCCGAACTGTCAATAACTAAATCTTTGCCATTTATTACTAATTCATTGAAAATATTTGTGTTTTCGAATGAGTTCTTTCCAATTTTTGTGACAAAGCCATTGAACTTCAAGTCAATGTTCTGAGCATTTTGAAATGCACAGTCATCAAATGAAATAACATTTGAATTCATTGAAATTGTTTTGATCGTTTCTTTGTTGGCAAAAACATTTTTGCCGATATATAAAGTGTCAAATGTCAAATAAATTTCTGACAACGATTCACAACTATCAAAGAAATCTGTTTCTAAATTAAGCTTGGTATTTGCTGAATTAATTGTCACTTTTTGTAATAACTTGCATCCTTTGAAAAGTGACAATCCTAAATTACAATTTTTACCAATTATTTGTATTTCTTTCATATTGACAAAATCGTTGAAATAATTCTGTTCAAATTCAATGGAATTGCACTGAATAACAATTTTTTCTAAAGATAACTTCGAACTTTGGAATAAATTAAGTGGTAAAATTAAGTTGTCACTTTTTGTGGTGATTGAAACCGTTTTAAGTGAATTTACATTTTGGAAAGTTGTTTCTCTCATTTCTGCCAAAGTTGTTGTTTCAATTATTACTTCAGTTAACTTTGCGCAGTCCTTCAAGAAATTATTTGGTATTCTTTGGTGGAAAATTGAGTTGTCAACAATTGTCACTTTTTGTAATTGAGAACAAGTAGCAAAAGGTGACGATTTGTAAAGTTGATAATTCAAAAGAGGACATTTCACTTCAATTAAAGAATTGCAGTTATTGAAAGCGTCTTCAGCCAAATACATGATTGATGATGGTAATTCTATTGTTGTGAAAGCACAATTAGAGAAAGAAAGAGATCTGATTTCATCAATTCTATCAGTAAAAGTGACTTTTGACAATTTGACACAACCTTCAAATAAACTATTTGTCATGTAAATCAAAGAAATTGTTTGAGGAACTTTGAATTCTTCAAGATTTGTGCAGTTCCTGAAACAATATTTTCCGAAGGATGTCATTGTATTATCTGGCAAAATTATCTCTTTCAATTTCAAACAATTCTGGAAGGCGCCATCATCAACACTAATTAATTTCTTTCCTGCTTCAAATCTTTCCAAATTAACACAATTACTAAACATGAAATAGCTTACATAAGGAACAGAATCAGGTAACTTCACATTAGTTATTTGAAGACAGCCTTCAAATGCATGAGAACTTAATACTTTAATTGATTCTGTCAAAGGAACTAAAGGTAACTTTTCGCATTGATAGAATGCGAATGCATCAATTCCTGTTAATTCTTTCTTGAATGTGATTTTGTTTAAGTTCTTGCACAAAGCGAAACAAGCAAATGGAACATAATCTGATGGATATTCGATTGTTTCAAGAGAAACACAATTATAGAATAAGTTTCTCTTTGTTTCATTAATACAATCAGGTAAAACAACATTTGATAATTTGTCACAATTCATGAATAAATCATTTCCAAGTGAAAAAGTTCCATCAGAAACAGTAACTTTCGCTAAATTCTTGCAATCCATGAACATTCCATCTGGAATGGATACGAAACCGGCTGGAAAAGTGAATTCAACAATTGAATTACATCCTTTGAAAATATATTTTCCATTGATTGATTTGACACCATTTGGAAAAGAATTTATTTGCAAATTGATGCAGTTTTCGAACGCGAAATCTCCAATATAATTTGTATTAGCACTAAATGCAATATTCTTTAAAGAATTGCAATTATTAAAACATGATTCTCCGAAATAATTAACATTTGTAACAGTAATTGTTTCTAATCCAGAACAATTAGCAAAAACAAATGAATTTAATGTTTGTAATGAATAAGAAAACGTTTTAATTGATTGGCAGTTTGCAAATACTCTGTTTCTAACTTCTTCAACTCCATTTGGTAATTCAGAAATCATTAATTTGTTGCAATTTTCGAAACAAGAATCAAAAATTTTCTTGACATTTGGCATCTCAACATTTATTAGATTTGAACAATCCATAAATAGTTCATTACTTAATTCAGTTATACTATTAGGAATTGTAAATGTTGTTAATGAAGTGCAGCCTTTAAATACTCCATTTCCAAGTGTAGAAACGTTTTGTAAACTTGTCAAATTCATATTTTGACAATTTTGGAATGCGTAATCATCAATTTTAGAGAGATCTTCTGTGAGATCAATTGTATTGATTAATTTGCAATCAGACAAAGAGTATTTTCCATATGTTTTGATGTTTGTTTTGTAAATAATAAATCTGAGATTTTCGCAACCAGCAAATGTATAATCAGGAATAGAATCAAGTGGATAAAAGAATGTATTAATGCTCTTGCAGTTGTAGAAAATTCTTGTTCCAAGTGATTCAACTGATTCTGGTAATCGAATTAAATTTAATTCAAAACAACCTTCGAAAGCACTGTCACCAATTGATTTAATAGTGTCAGGAAGAGATAACTCTGTTAAATTAGAACATCCCATGAATAATTTCGCAGGAATTTCTTCGAGATTTGATTCAATTGTGAAATTAACAATTAATGTTCCAGAAAAAGCTGCTTCGCCGAGCTGTGTAACTGTTGATGGAATTGAATCTATTTGGAATTGATTGCAATTCAAAAATGCAAAAGAGTCAATTTTTGTCAATTTCGATGAAAATTTGACAGATGAAAGTAACTTGTTGTTTGCAAATAATCCTTCATTTATGACTGTTACATCTGAAGGAAGTGTGAACTCTACGAACGATTGACAACCGGAAAATGCGTAAGATCCTATTGTAGAAACTTTTTCTGGTAATTCATCAATAACAAGCTTTGCACATCCTTTGAAGCAACTGTTTCCAATTGTTGTTAGTTCGGATGGAAGTCTAACTATTTCTAAATTTTCGCAATTTTCGAATAATGAGTCCGAAAGAGTTGTAATGGTTGAGGGAATAACAATAGTGTTAATACTGATGCAGCCAGCAAAAACTTTTGGACCAAGCTCTGTAATTGTAGTTGGCAAAGTAATCATTGAAAAACTGGCGCAATTTTGGAAGCATCCTTCTTTGATTGATGTGATAGATGTCAATGAAAGATCGAAATTTGCTAAATTGAGGCAGTTTTGGAAAGAATAAGCACCTAAGGTTTTAATTGGTGCTATAATCTGAACATCGGTTAATTGGCCAAAGTTCTTGAATGCACCATCTCCGATGGCTTCAACAGAACCTTCAATTTGGATTTTCTTTGTAATATCACGATAATCTTGAGAAATAGAAGCCTCTATTGTTCCTTCACCTGAAACGGTTAATAATTGGGTATCAAAGTCAAATGACACATCCGCTGCATTAAAAGAAATTGCCTGATGAAGCAATCTGGATGTGAAAAGAGAGGGTCTAAACATATTTGATTTTGAATTGATTCAATTGATTCACAATTCATTTCAAAATATTTCAATGATAACTTGAAAAGATTGTTTTAATATTGATCATATTATGGAATACTATGTAAATTAATAACTCTTATTTCTTTTGCAAATTTTCATGGCAAACCCAAATTTTAGCTAAAAGTGACAGGGAAAAAAAACGTTTAGTATTAAAAAAAAAGACCGATGAGAGCTTCGTTCGAAATATAGAGGGAACTGAGAATGCGCAACCATTCTCAGGGAATATTGGATGCTATTCCCGTTCCCTCTGTATGGAAAATTGAGGTTTTCAAAGGGAGTTAAAATAATATCAAATTTATACTAATTTACTTCAAAATACAAAAGTATTTGACAGCTAAAATTAGTTACTTTAGCAAGCCTATCAATACCCTTTTACGATTATTGCTACTTTTTCGAAATAAAAGTAAAAACAAATTTATACTAATTTACTTCAAAATACAAAAGTATTTGACAGCTAAAATTAGTTACTTTAGCAAGCCTATCAATACCCTTTTACGATTATTGCTACTTTTTCGAAATAAAAGTAAAAACAAATTTATACTAATTTACTTCAAAATACAAAAGTATTTGACAGCTAAAATTAGTTACTTTAGCAAGCCTATCAATACCTTTTACGATTATTGCTACTTTTTCGAAATAAAATAAATTTATTATCAAAAACCTTTTTTTTCTTAGTAAAATAAACGAAATTTTTTACCTTATGAACTTTTGATGGAAATATGCAAATTTAAAATAATAAAGAAAGCCGCGAGCGAAGCGATCGGCTTAGTTCGAAGATTTTGATTCAAATCTTTGCTGATCTGTAATTCGCGGAAGCCGCGAGCGAATCGAGCGGCTTAGGTCTAAGATTTTGATTCAAATCTTTGCTTATATTCCTTAAATTCTTTATGAAACTCGCAACAGTTCCATAAAAAATTTTAAATTCTAAACTGTCGAAATTACCGATCGGTAATCACACCCTTCACGGGTGTGTCACTTTTAGCTAAAATTACCCCTACTCTGGGTGGCATAATTAATTTTCTTCACAATTTTTTGGAAAACATTTTTGAGCATTGAGGAAATATGTATATTTGGAATAGCTCTATCTCACTCATAATCACTAATAGTAAATCGTGCATTGGGTGTTGACCTGGAAGAACTGGAAATAATTTGCATTTCATAAAAAATCATGATAAAGGCATGGTTCGATAATGCGAATTGCATTTATTTTGAAAATTAATGAAATACGTTTATTATATTGTATTGTTTATTCAATATGCATGTTAAATTTAGATAAATAGGATAAAAAGATTTAAGCGCAAACTTTTAACACAGAATACCAGTGATCCACAGCCATACAAATTCTGATGTGGTCTATTGGAACAGTTTTGACGACAATGCGTCTTTGATTATATTTACAAGATCTTTTTTAAACAACAACAATGAATATAGATTACGTTATAATATGTGAACATAATAATTAGAAAAATATGATAATTATTTTTAATTTTTTATTCTAGTTTTTTTCTTGTTTTATTGTTAATGCCTCTGCCATATTATAATGATTTTTGGAGCAAAATAAAGATATTATTGACGGCATTGGATCTGTATACAAATTGAAAACATTCAATGAGGAAGAAATTAATGATATTTTCATTTCGATTACAAAAAAATTGATTGACACCAAAAATTTCAAACCATTAAAGGTTATTTCAATGATATGTAGGGTAATGTTATGGAGATATCGATACTTCCATTCATATCTATTGTTAATTAAAAAGATCATTCTCAAATATCAAGTAAAAAGACTGAAAAACTGCCCAAGCTCTCTTTATTATTATTTGCATAAAGAATTTGGTTTAATATTAGAACACGGACAACAAAAGGATTTTTACGTTCCATGTTTCTATAATTCCGTTCCATGTTTCGATAATATCTTTATGGACAACTGCAATGCAAACTCATTATATGGAGCAATTATTAATGATGATGTAAAATTGTTTATTACATTTACCGAGAGAGATGGGTTCGACCCCAATGCTGTTAAAATTTTAAAGCTTGAAACAGATTATTTTGATATTATGTATTATGATAATAACCAAATGAGCTTCTCGCTGCTTGAATTTTGTTGTTTTCATGGAGCAGTAAATTGTTTCAAGTTTTTAAGGACAGAATACCAATCAAAAATCACCATTCGATGCCTTGAATATTCATTTCTTAGTGGTGTTCCTGATATATTGAATGAATGTTTAAAATATCAAAATCCAAGCAATGAATGCATGAAATATGCAATAATTTCACATAACATTGACTTTGTTGCCTTCTTGGCAAATGAATTTATGTTACCAATTGATCCAGAATTGTGTTTCAAATACAACAATATATTAGCCCTCGCAATTCATATTGATTGCAAACATGACGCATTCAATCTTCTTCCAAAAATTATTTGGTACAAAAATTTTGAATTTTTGGATCTTATTGTATGGAATTTAGTAATGCCAAATACACAATTTTATACAGGAATGCCAATTCTTCACTATGCAGCAAAATATAATTTCAAATCTGCCGCAAAAACTCTTATTTCCATTGGAGTAAATGTCAATTCTCAAGACTATTGTGGAAACACCGCTCTTCATGTTGCCGCAGAAAGGGATTCCGTAGATGTTGTAAATATTCTTATAAATCATGGTATTGATATTAATAAAAAAAATAATGATGGAAAAACAGCTCTTCATTATGCTTCAGCAAATCATAATTTTGAAATTGTTAAAGTCCTTATTATGCATGGTGCAGTTTTAAATTTATACGATAAAAATGGAAAAACTCCTTTCCATTACGCAACAATGTATAGCAGAGGAGAATTGAAAATTTTTATATCTTCTTGTCTCTTCAAACAAATGAAACATTATATATCAAATGTCATTTCCAATATAGATGGCAAAATGATACATGAGCCAGATAGATTCATTTTTGCATTTAGAGCCGATTTTAATAAGTCAGAATTTGATGAAGCTGCAAATGCTATTATTTTAAACGGCAATAAAATCGATATAAATGTACATAACACATCAGAAAGAAAGAGTATTGAAATAGCAAAACTTCTTGTCTCTAATGGAGCAGATGTTAATGCAAAAGATTTCGAAAATCGAAAGACTCCTCTCCATTATGCAGCAGAAAGGAACTGTCAGAAACTTGCCGAGTTTCTAATCTCTCATGGTGCAAACATCAATGCGAAAAACAAACATGGTTTGAGTGCGATTCACTATGCAGCAGGCAAAGAAAACAAAGAACTTATCGAAATTTTGATTTCACATGGAGCAGATGTTAATTCTCAAGATAATTTCCAAATAACTCCACTCCATATTTCTTCATTTTACAATCTGAAAGACATAACAAAACTTCTCATTTCTCATGGAGCTGATATTAATAAACGAGATAAAGAAAGAAAAACTCCTCTTCATTATGCAACGAAAAGCCATAGTGTGGAATCAGCCCAAATACTTATTTCTCATGGTGCAAATGTTAATTTATTTGATTTTACTGGGAAAACGCCTCTTCATTTTGCTTCAATGTATTATATTAATGAAATAAAAGATCTTTTGCTCGCAAATGATGATTATCTCTATGATATTCTTGAATCTCTAGAAGAAAGAAATAATATAGAATTGGATGGCATTCGCCTTTCAGATAAATCGAGAAATCATATGGAAAACGCGATTTTTCTGATATCTAATGGCTCATTCCCCAGTAAAGTTAATTCTGTACGAAATGCATCAGAAAGAAAGAGTATTGAAATAGCAAAACTTCTTGTCTCTAATGGAGCAGATGTTAATGCAAAAGATTTCGAAAATCGAAAGACTCCTCTCCATTATGCAGCAGAAAGGAACTGTCAGAAACTTGCCGAGTTTCTAATCTCTCATGGTGCAAACATCAATGCGAAAAACAAACATGGTTTGAGTGCGATTCACTATGCAGCAGGCAAAGAAAACAAAGAACTTATCGAAATTTTGATTTCACATGGAGCAGATGTTAATTCTCAAGATAATTTCCAAATAACTCCACTCCATATTTCTTCATTTTACAATCTGAAAGACATAACAAAACTTCTCATTTCTCATGGAGCTGATGTTAATTCTAAAGACAATGATGATATAACACCTCTCCATTTGGTATGTGTGAAAAATTTTATAGAATCTGCTCAAATATTACTCTCTAATGGTGCACATGCCAGACCATTAACTAAGGCGAAGCTTGATCCTTCAATGCTTGCATATGGAATCTTTGATCCAAGAATGAAACTCCTCCTTCTGAAATATAGATGCATAAATGCTATCAAAATTATGTATTTCAAATTACGTAATCTACTTTTTTAGTAAAGTTTAATATATATAATGCAAATTATTCTTATTTATAATAAAATTCTTCTTCATTTTTCGGAATATTGTTTATTTGCCCCATATTTATATTTTTCACTAAAATTTGCATTATGCGAAATAAGAAGTTCTACTATTTCTTTATTTTGATTTTTTCCTGCAAATTGATATTTGCACCATGAGAAATGAGAAGTTTGACAATTTCCATACAGTGATTTTTCGCTGTAAAATGAAGAGCATTTCTACTTTGTTATATTTTTCACAAATATTTGCACCATGTAATAGGAAATATTCACAAATTGATGATATATCGAATACCGTAGAATAAATAAAGCATCTATCAATATCATTCGTTTGATCATAATAAACTAAAAAGGAATCAAGATTGTTATGAATTCCGCAATATTCTAAATCGATCTTAATATTGTATTCATTCATCAAGAATGTATTAAAATCAATGTTGTATGAAATAATTGCATATTTCATGCAATATTTATCAGGCTTTTGATATTTCAAACATTCACTCATAATATATGGATTTCCTCCTAAAAATGAAAATCGTTAAACATTTGAGTTATTTCTGAATCAAATGTCGATCTTAATAACTTGAAACAATCAACAGAACCGTGGTAACAGCATAATTCTAGTAATGAATCTCCTTCAGAATATGGATATAAATTGCTTTCAAGCTTTTGATTTTCATCAAATCCTTCATTTTCCGTGAATGAGATGAATGTTTCTTTATTATAATACATAATTGCTCTGCAAATTGTATCTTCATAATGAATATCGAGATTTTTAATTTTAATCCCATAATCTATATAAAACAAGAAGTTTGAAACAAGATTAGTAGCAATATATTTTGAATTGGTATTGTATCTATTTCTCAATTTTTTGATCGTTGTTACCTTATCAATATTTGAATAAAAGTTGACACTTAATTGTTCCCAATTGATAGTTCTAATTTTGTACTATATAATATTATTAAAGCTGCATGTTCCATGAACAGCACAAATTAAGAACGGATGAAAGTGAAGAAGTGAATGCAGATACAATGACTGCGAACTTAAATTGTCAAGGAATATTTGAAAAAATGATGAACTTAATGTTTAAAAGAACAAATCTTAATCAAGATAATACAAACCCATATGCAAACAATATTATGGACAATAATTGGGAAAATATTTTTTAAAAAATTCAAAAAACTCGGAGAGTGAAAAGATTGAAGAATATGTTCCATCTCCAGATGAAGTTGAGAAACCCAAGTTCATATATACATTATTTGGTATTAAAAAACCCTTTGCCTCCTGACTTATCTCCAGATGATGCAATATCATATATGAATGGAAGATTTCAATTTGATGGACATCAACAAATAGAAATTGAAGAAGACACATCAAGTTTTGAAGAGCGTTGTTTCGATGAAAGTCATGTGGAATCATGAGATATTATGTATTATGTTATTGTTACATTCATTCCTGTTACAGGAATACTTATATATTGTTGGCTTAAGTCTGAAAGACCGAAATTTATGTTTGGTTGTTTTATAATTCTTGGATCATTGTTATTAATCACATTAATTTAAACAGTTGTTTGTATTAGTCTATTAAATTTGAAATCAGATGAACTTTTGAAACCATATGGGAGAGCAACAAATTACATATATTTATGATCCTAATTCTCTATCATATAGACAATATTATTTTTGATTTTGCTCACTAATATAAATCAAGGAAACATATTCCAAAAATTCAATTCAAAATAAAGACGATAAAAACAATTCATGATTTGGTATTCAAATTTTGATAAGATCATTTGTTTTATTTTATTTTAAGTAATATATATATCATATCAAATTATTTGAAAAATTTGGCAAATTCATTAAATTTCCAAAACATCAATGTCCATTGGAGAGCTATCTTTACTTTTACCATTACTACTTATCATGATTCTAGCAATTGGAAGGATATCTAGCTTTTGTCTACCTAGTCATAAGGGTTTCTACAAAATGATACTCAATACAAATAATGAAGAATACCTTAATTCATTCGTTTCACAACAACCAATGATTTCTTGTTTTAAAGTAGAGGCTTATGAACCAAATATTTTTCATACTGAAGCAATATATGAAAGGCATAATTTTACCTATGGATCATGGGAATTAGAACCTCCACAATTTGCAAATGTTGAAAATGAAGTAGTTATTTATCTGTTGAAAGAAAAATACATACTAAATTATGAAGCAAATGAAAAATTCAAAGAATTTTCTCAAAATTTAAAAAAGCAAGTGTATTATTAATCTGCACGCATTGAGTACGATCGCGCTGATACACGCTTGATTTTATTTAACAAAAGAAATTCGAAAATATTCAATTTTTTGATAAGTGAAAATTGTCGAATTTTATATAAGTTCTTTAGAATATTTGGATTGCATTGGTTTTATGAAGTGCTATTCTATATACTAGCTGATAAATATATTGAAATTCCAGTTGTTAAAAATATCTCATTAGATAAAGATGAATATCAATATAAATACAACCAATTTGAACTTGGTTCAGATGAACTTAAACGTCGATCGGAAGATGATGGTGAAATGACCAAACTTTATGAAAGGGCCACCGGAATAAGTTATAATTTAATAATAATAGCTGCTCTATTAGCATTTTACTTTGAACGCTAATTTCAATAAAGAATTTTTTGATTTATCCAAAATTAATGGGTTCACAATAACCAATGATTTCTTGTTTTAAAGTAGAGAATTGTGAACCAAGTATTTTTCATACTGAAGCAAAAAGTTCATTAGCATATAATATAATGCTTATATTTAGTAAAATTAATATACATTTCAAGGCTAGATTTCGAGAAAAATTGAAATCTTTGCATTATATATTCCTCCAAAGTTCTTTCAATTTCATTGAAAGGGAGGATAAATTCGACATTGTTGACATCTTCAACATGATATTTATCATAAATGTGTTTTGAAAGAGATAAATATAACTTAACATAACAAATCCCATAAATCTCTTATTATATTTGTGGGAAGGCTTTTATTCGAATTAATTATTTCTCTTTTGATCTTATTATAAATCGAGTTTAATTCTTCTTCATTTTCTGTTTTCAGCTGATACAATCCAATATAAGTTTCAATGATGTATTTGTAGATGCTCCGTAATTCACTGTATTTATTTGATAGATCGTGATGACCAGATATTAATATTTTTTATAAAGAACACATTGCCTTTTTACTATAAAAAATATCTGTGAAATTCATTATACGAAAAAGTACTATGTTATGCATGTAGAAACAATGTATACAAAGAGTAGTAGGATAGGATGGGTTTTGTGACTTTTTTTGTAAACGTAAGAATTCATACAATATCGAGCGATTTTGTATCATTTTTTTAACATATTAATTAAAAAATATATGATTCTTACGGTTTTATTCTTACGTTTTTGAATAAATCAAGATTTAAAAAATTTTCAAAATTGTAAGACATTTACACTCAGCCCATACATAATGAAATAAAAAATAAAAATATATTTATTTATAAACCATTAAAAAAATTAACATATTAATTTTAAAATAATTTATTTTTTTATTCTTACATAAATGACCCAACAAGTAAAACCAGATAAAATAGATTATCGAATTTTAGAGGATGGAATTCCTGTTTATATTCAAAGATTTAAAAGGAAGCAATATTATAGAATTGTTAATCCTGAATACATAAAACATTTATTTAAAAAGGAAGACTGTGAATTATTAAACGTTAATGAATATGAAACCAATAAATCAAAATTGAAATATAAATATATTGGAAGTGATGAAAGATGCAAAGATAAAGATAAAGTTTATACAGTTTCATATAATGAATGGAAAACCAATAAGATAAGAAACCATTTAGGAGATTATGGTAAAAGTTCTGAATTCTTTAAATCTAGTATGTATGAGAGAGTAAAAGAAATTAGAAATAATTATTTTCATGAATAAAAAATAAACTTTAAAAATTCATGTCTTACATTTATGAAAATTTATTTTTAATTCGTAAGAAATGAGCGTCAAAACTAACAACGTGAAAACATTAGGATTCACTACCATAATGAAATAAAAAATGAAAAAAAATTTTAAAAAATAAACTTTAAACATTCATGTCTTACATTTTAAAATAATTTATTTTTATTTTGTATGAAATGAGCGTCAAGACTAACGACGTTAAAAAATTGGGATTCACAAATGAGGAAATAAAGGATATATTAGAGGAGGCGGGTTATGAAGTTGATAAATATTATTTAAGAAATTGTCAAAAATTCGCGGAGTTTTTAAATGAGTTTGATTATGATGGAAAAATGAATAAAGATGATGTTATAAATTTCTTATATCCCACATCTAAAGAAGAAAAACCTAAAGAACCTGATGTTTTCCCTGAATATTATGAAGAACGAATTAAAGATGATGAATACAATGAAATTGAAAGACTGGAAAAAATAAGAGATGAAATAGATGAAAAATTAAGGAATTAAGAGAAGTTGAAAAATATAATGAAAATGAAGTAGAGGGTTTAATGAATATCCCAGCTTCAGAATCAGAAGTTCAGAAATCTCATGAAGAAAGATATAAAAATTATGTCTCAGAATCAACACAAAATTTATTAGATGGCGAAATAGATGAAACACTTTCAGAAGAAGGTACTAAATTTATACGTAAACATAAGTTACAATTTATTGATAATGAAAAATACCCTTGTATCTTACTTTCACCCCCTCTCGATTCTGAGAAATTCAAAAAAGCTCTTAAAAACGTGACATATGCAACTAATACGATTAAGAAAGAAGATCATGATATTTACACAAATCATTATTTAAATAAATGCACGGGTGTTGATAAAGTTTTTGATTTATTAGATAAAATATCAAAAGAAACCATTGGAACCTATAAAATTTTGTGTGATTGTGGTTTCATTATTGAAGATACCAATAATGTTTCATATGAAAGAACAGCACCGAAGGAAGATGAAGTGGAAAGGTCTATACCATTCGTTATTAAGAACATAAAAGATATGAAAACGTATAAGCATTATATTTATTCATTTATTTCAGAAAAAATGGAAGCAACCCATAAAACATCTTCTCATCATTTTATAGCTATTCATACATTCCTTTTCAAAGTTGTGAAATTAAATAAGACAGGAATTAGATTTAATGTATCGGGGTACGCATTCTTGAGTAAATTAAAATGTATTCGTCACGTCGCAGATGATAAAAATTTATGTGTTCTTAATTCATTTTATGGGCTTTAAAAAATAAACTTTATTTTTATTTATTTATTTAATTTTTTTTATTCTTACATAAATGAACAAAAACGGAACAGCTAAAATGAATGATAATCAAATTAGAGCAGAAGGTAGAAGGTTATTTAAACGCTTCTATAACATTCCTGATGGTGTTAATCCTAAAACTCGTAGAAGTTATTTAAATGAAGCAATAGATGCATATGAAGGGTTTGACATTTCATCAGAAAGTGAGAGATT